CACACACACACACACACACACACACACACACACACACACACACACACACACACACAACAGCTGAATACAGGGTTCCTGCTTGTTTTTAAATAACAAGCACGCCGACAAACTTTTCTTTAAAGTATTTCAACTTATCTAAAATTAAAAGTCAGGTCCTCTGGACGGATTCTTCTATGATGAAACGTTTCGTCCTTTATCCAAAGGACTTTTTCATGTTCATTGTGTCAACAAAGAGGAATCCGTCCAGATGACCTGACTTGTTGGATTTATCTAAATGGATTATTGAGCATCAGAATATTTCAACTTATGTTTTAGTCTGCAGTGGGAAATCTACAAGCAGCCTGTACACAAGTGATTTTTTAGAGCGTGTGTGCACTTCCTCTGCTGTAATCAGGCTGTCTGGGGTTCTGAAAACTGTTAATTAGCATTTGCCACAGTGGCCATGCTTCCTGTTATTAGCAGAACTGCTGTGAGGAGGGTGGGCCTGAGCCGGGTGTAAAAGGCACCCGCCCCGGCCCAGCAGAACCACAAAGATTTCGACTTCCAACAACACAGCTCCAGAGGTTAGAGAAATGAGAGAGAACTCATATTTCTCAAGTACAGGATTTTGCACAACAGGACGTTGTAGTTACAAGCGGTACGCTGATATCCCCGTCTCTGAGGGATTTGAATAGTGAGTGTTTGTAGTTTGTGAGAGGTTTTGTTTTTTGTTAATTTCCTGGTCTGGAATTGAACAGAGAATGAAAGTAAGCCTTGATGTTCTTGGTGCAAGACATTCAAACTGGCAGGAGTTACACCGTGGAGAACAGAGGGAGGTTTTGTGTCTGAGGCGGTGCAGAGTGACGGATCCTGGAGAGAGGAGACATTTTATCCACCAGCAGGTGCAAAGGTGGAGCCAGGGGGAGGGCAATGGTGGCCTTGGCCCACATAAATTATTATTCAGTCACCCCAATCATTTGGAGAAACTACATTTTAAGCAATATAAAACTAGAAAATGTAGTTCCCTCAAATGATCATGGTGGTCGGTTCACACATTTATATGGCGATTCTGACCTTCTTGGATTTTGACGTGGCAACCCACTTTTCAAACTGAAAATTTATTTCACCTAATTATAGCCACACACCAAAATGGAAGTTAGTAACTCGCTTATTTTTTAAGTTATCATGCTCACAACGTGAACGGATGTAAGAATGGATGGCATTTCCCATTTCTCCTTTTTCCCACCACGACGGGAGACAAAAATGGCACCTGGAGGTGAGAACATTTATTTCTGTCACAAACGGGGATGAGTAGGAAAAGGTTCTCTCCATGGACACAAAGCCAGGGATGCAGCCTCCTGGTTCCACCAGTCTTCAGAATGATGGGATGTTGCCCGATCAAAGTGGACTTTATGATGAAACTTGTTTTAAAGTTTCCATGTGACTCAGTCTTACAAGTCATTTAATCTCGTCACCTTCACTTCAGCAGTGCAGGTCCTTCAATCACACCTGTTTAATATGAAATAGCTTTATAATTAGGCAGCAAAGCTCTGAGGCCAAAAGATTTATCCTCTTGAAACTGGAGGGTCATACATTTTTTTAAAGTTCTTAATTAATTTGCTCCGGTCCTCCTCCAAACTGAACGAAAGGATTAATCACTGAAAATTAATCCCTTCATCAGCACGGCCAGAAACTCATCAGCAGAATAAAACCCAGTGGACTCAGTTTTGTACAAACTTCACTGACTTAAGTTAAAACCAACACTAAGTCCAATGTTCTGAACAGAAAGGTCTTCTATCCCTCCACTTTCATGCACTGCCAGATTTTACCAATAAATTGGACTCAATAGGCTCGGAAATGTGAAGATCAGCTGTGTGGGTCAGGACTGACTCACTTTTAACAAAAAGGTCAAATTTGTAGTAACATAACTACTCACAGACAGCAGGGAGTGGCAACCTGCATGTTCAGATCCTGTCCTGTCATGCCGATCTACCGCACAGTGTCACTTAGTTCATCCATGCCTGAGATGAATGCAGCAGAAGACAACATGACAATATTCCACTTCTAAAGAGGCAGAGCTCCCCTCGAACATCTCAAAGTGTCTGAAGTGAAAACAGCAGATAAGAGATGTATAAACTCCCTTCAAACAGCTTTTGTCATCTTTTTTGTTTTTTGCTGCCTCATTTCCTTGAAATCAAAAGAAGAGAGAGTGGGAGAAAACCATTGATAGAGGAGGAAATGCTTCAGCAGTTTCCAAATGTCAAACCGGTTCTGACCAGAGGACTGAAGGAGAGCTGAACGGCAAAGAACTTCCACACCAAAGGCCAAATGACTGATGAAAAATATTTTAGAGACAGTTTAAAAAAAGCCACCATGATGACCCCAAGGAGATGACTGCAGAGTACAGAGTGTGCTGCAGAGTTGGACTCTTTGAAACAGGATCACATGCATGTCCACCTTCTGCTGGGTTGGATGTAAACAAATCAGTGTAAAGTTAAACTCACCGCATCCTGCGTGACCAACCAGCAGCACAAGACTCGTGTTTTTAAAACGGTACACACCGGGTCTTTAAACACCCACTATTCATCATGTGTAACCTGCAGCCGACAGTGCAGCACACTCTTCAGGCTAAAGCATTTAAACAAACTAATAAAGACAGAGAGGCTGATAAAGTTAAAGTAGAGAAAACCTCATCCTCAAGAAAAAAAAAAAAAAAAAAAAAGAAAGAAGAGCATTCTCTGTTCCAGCTAAGGAGCAGAACAAGAAATTCACAAGTGATGTGTGGTAAAGTTAACTGAGCATCCTGTGTTTATTAGACATGTAAATAAAAATCCTGTTTGTCAAGAATTCAGACAAACATGCAAATTCAGGCCCTGTCCTCCTACTTATTTTAGCTATTTTTGCTGTAGGACAAACAGGTGAGTTTGCTGGAAAACCAAATATTCTGAAACGCGTTATGACCGGGTTTAAACAACAGGTCAATAAAGATGAAAACTGTCGTCGCCAACAGATCATTCAGTGTAGTTTTTAAGGACCACAGCTACAAAACACCTTCCCATGTTCCACAACAACCAACTTTTAACGACCTTAATGAAACATAATAAAAGGGACAGGCAGGACAGAAATGGTTGTTGCAGGGTTTCAGTGAGTCATATTAAAAACATAAAGAGCTTCCCATTAAACGTGACAGAGCAGGACAGGTCCGCAGGGGGTTTGAGCTTGCACAAAACTTCTGTAGTGAGTTTGTTGGGTGTTACCATCATGGTGGAAAAGCATCCATGAAGTGCCCATGACGATGTCATCAACATAACCCATTACTGTAGCCTCCAACACATCCTGCTGAGGTCCAAGAGAGTTGTATAGGGAGGGCAAATAGAGCGTGATCCAGAAGCAGAAGAGGATCTCAATGATGAAGAAAGTTATAAGAAATAAACTATTTGACATGAACTAAAATAATAAACAAAATTTCAAAATTAAGGAGGGTTTTTATTGTTTTCCATGGTCCAGTCACGTCTTTAAAGGTCATGTAGGTCAAAGAGCGAGCATAGTAGACACCATCCAGTACGAGTGTGACCAAGGTGCACCTAAAACTGACTCATCACCAAAACGAAGTAGGTGGAGAAAAACTATTCAGTTTGGGTCTTTTTAAATGTACGGTTAACAATGCAGTCTTTTTTCACCAAGACAAATGATACATTAGGTGTGGCAAGTTAAATAAAAAGAAAGTGATGTACAGCACAAATCAAGTCGATTATCAACAGACCAAATACAGAATGAAACTGATGGATAATACCATTTAGGAAGCCAGAGGTTTGTACAGTTTTAAGTTTAACTTGCAAACTTATTGTAGGGTTGTGTTAAAACATGTCATTTGTCATTTATTCCAAAGTCACACCAGTTGCTCTGGAGTTGATCAGAATCTGCTTATTTTTAGCAGCTTCAATACACGATATCCAAG